TGCACCGCAATCCTGAAGGCGAGTGGTTCAAATCCACCAGATGCTCTGCTGGAGAAAGAGGGACAATCTCCTTCTGTACCAGTCGGATCCAATTTGACAGTACACAACAAGAAAAGAAAAACAAATAAATACATTTAAAAAAAACCCAAACAAAACACAGTGTGCATGAATAAAATACACTGTATACAAATTACATTAAGAAACCAATTAAAAAGAAATAGATCAGATAGGTGAAGGGACAGGCCATATACAACAAGGAGTTGATCAGACATTGTAATTAATGAATGACATTAATCAGTTATAATAATAAAAGGGACAGGATGAAAAATGGTGCTGAGTGCTAGGAAGATAAAGCAGAAAAGGGGACCTGAACACGGATGCTGGATATTTGATTTCAATGTTTTTTTAAAAGTATTTGGGGAAGGTCACTCCTCCCCTGGAAGGTGATATGCAAAAGGACCCGAAGGAAGTGAGTTAATGCTGTGGGTGTCTGGGGAGGGTCTTCCAGGTAAGGAGACAGCCAGTGCAAAGGGCCTGAGGTAGGAAGAGGAAGTGTGGCTGGAACAGAGGGAGGAAGAGGGAGTGCTGCGTGTGAGGGTGGAGATGGCAGTGCAGGGTCCTGCGGGCCACAGCCACGTGAGGGCTTGGGCTTTTCCCGCAGAAACAGGAGCCCTAGGAGTTGCGATAGTTAATGCTGTGTGTCAACTTGACTGGGCTGATTTTAGGCAGTTAAGCAGCTATTGGGCTGTGTCATGGAATGACCCTTCCCACATAAGAATAATGTCCTGATCCTCTGTAATAGAATGCATGTGGAACGGAATGCAATGACATCTTTCTTCCACAAGTAAGGCTGGTGGGTTTGAACCACTGAGCTCTGGCTAGCAGCTAAGAGCTTGTTACTGTCAGGGGCCACTGAGGAAGGTCTGACTCACAATGGATCCCGTGTACAAAAGAACATCTTCCAGTTCTGTGCCATCTTTTTAATCTCTGCAGTGCTTAAACCCACTGTTGCAGTCACTGTGTGCCCATCCATCTAGCTGAGGATCTTTCCTCTTGAAAACCCTACGAAGAGCAGCTGAGTGCTTCTTCTTCTTGTTGTTGTTGATTGCCGTCAAGTCAAACAAGACTCAATGAACAAAAGATCTGATGCCTTTCTTTAACTATCATCGTTTCTCCAAGTTCATGAGAGTTTCCATAAGGCATGTGGTTTAGGAAGTGGATGCCACTCCTGCTTCCAAGCCTCTCTTAAACTGTCAGCTTCCACCAAACACTGTCCACCTTGGGCAAAATCATTATGGCATTTGACACCCCTATGTCACAAGGTTCAACATCACAGCAAACCCAGGTTACCTCAGTACAGCAAATTGACAGAAGAGTGAATTACAACTTAGAACAATGTTCTTCCAAAATATACCAACACTAGTCTCACTTAGCAGTGGTTAAGTGCCATCAAGTCGAATACGATTCATAGCGACCCCATGAACAAAAGACCTGAACCCTGTCTTACAACTAACATCATTTCTCTATGTGCACAGAGTTTCCAGAGGCATGTGGTTTAGGAAGTGGATGCTTCTTCTGCTTCCAAACCTGAATCAATCTGGAAGCTCCACTAAACACTGACCGTGATGGGTAACCATGAGGGCATTTGACACAACTATGGCACAACGTTCAGCATTACAGCACCTCCAAGTTATTTCAGTACAGCAAACAGATGACGGCTGTACCACTTCAAGAATGTTCACGCCCAACAAATGCTGTTTGACTATAAACCAAGTAGACCCCTGCCCTTGGGTCCTTGTTAGCTAAATTGGGCAAAAGTCCAGTCAGCTGACACCCACTTGTGGAGGGAAAGAAAAACACCAGTAACACAACCAAAACATTCCTTCTGTGACCCTCATCAAGACGTGAGAAACCAGCTTCCAGAGTGGAAACACCCCACAGTAGCCTGCAAGCCAGCCACAGACTTAGCCCTGCACTACAGGATTTTAAAGACAGCTAAGTGCTTGTTGTTATTGTTGATAGCCATCGAGTCAAGGACAACTCATAGCAACTCCGTGAACAAAAGACCTACTGCCTTCCCATAACTATAGTCATTTCTCCAAGTTCATAGAGTTTCTAGAGGCATGTGGTTTACGAAGTGGATGCCACTCCTGCTCCCAAACCTGTTTTACAACTGGGAGCTCCACCAAACAATGTCCACAATGGGAAACCACTCTGGTATTTGATATCCCCATGGCACAAGGTTCAGCATCACAGCAAACCTAAGTTAAGTCACACAGCACACTGACAGAGTGATGTGCAAAGTGGAAAAATGTTCCTTCAGATATAACAGCACTAATCTCACTTAGCAGTGGTTAAGTGGCATTGAGTTGAATACAACTCAGAGTAAGCTTTGCACAAAAGACCTGAACTCTATTCTATAATTAACATCAGTTCTGTACATTTTTAGAGTTTAGAGAGTTTGTAGAGTTTCCAGAGGCATCTGGCTTAGGAAGTGGATGCCACTCCTGCTTCCCAACAGGAATCAATCTGGAAGCTCATCCAAACATTGTACATAATGGGTAACCATTACGGTATTTTAACAAGACTATGGAACAGTGTTCAGCATCACAGCAACTCCAAGCTGTTCAGTACAGCAAATAGACAACTGATTGCTGTGTCTTTTAAAGAATATTATTCTAAAATTAATTTGGTCCTCGGGCCCGTGGCCCTCGGGCCCTACAGGATTTTAAAGCCACACCCTCTAGCAGGCCTCTACCCTTAGTCTAAGGCTCAAGGGCCACCTGCCTTTGGGAGGAGGGGAATGAACACACAACAAAAGTTCTTAGCCATCTATGAAACTGTAAGGCAATTCTGCTCTAGACCTGCTAGAAGACAGCTATGAGTCGAAAGTAACTTGTATGTGGAGATCTTTTGGGGACCATTATTCAGATACTCACAAAGACACAGGAGATGGTGGCTGTGTATCATTGAGTCGGACCTGACTCACAGCCGACCCTCTAGCGGGTTTTCAGAGGCAGTAAATCGCACAGGAGTTGATTACCCATTTATCTTTCACAGACCAACTGGTGAATTCGACCCACATGCCTTCGGGTTGCCAGTACATCTCCTTACCACTAGGCCCCCAGAGCTCCCTCAGGCGATCGATGGTCCTCTCCTCTAATCATATGGAAAGAACGGAGCTAAAGGAGAACAGGAGAGCCTCCCACTCCCCACGTTACCGTCTGAATCAGCAGCTCCAGGTCCCGGGCCTCAAAGGTGTGTTGATTCTGAGGGTCCAAGTGTTCAAACTGCTTCAGAAGGCTCAGGTGATCTACCTGCACATCTGGACAAAAGGGAAGAGGCCAGATGTCAACCAAACAAAACGACTCTTATCATTGGAGCTGGATAAGCCTCTAGCAGGGGTCACAGAGGGCACGAGAGAAGGCCCTGGAGAAATCAGGGAGGGCTGCCAGAAGGAGGTGATGCTTTGACCAAGTCTAACACTTAAACTAAAAAATAACCATGATAATAAAAACCAGTTGGTGAGTCAATTCCAAGTCACGACAACCCACTCTGTGTCAGAATAGAATTGTACTCCATTGGGTTTTCCTTCCTTCCTTCGTTCCTTCCTTCCTCTCTCTCTTTTTGTAAATTTTTATTATTTTGTGTGTGTGTGTGTACCATCAAATCTGATCTAACTGGTACAAGAGGAGATTACCCCTGCTTCTCCAGCAGAGCATCTGGTGGATTTGAACCCTGTGCCTCTGGGATTGCAGTGCAGCTTCTTGTCACTAGGCCACCAGAGCTCCCTCTATTGGGTTTTCAATGCTGACTTTATCCTCTCTCCACCATCACCTTTTTTTTTTAAATTTTTTTTTTACCATCACCTTTTTATTGTGACTTGGAGCTCTGGTGGCGTAGTGGGTAGGGAGCTGCACAGTCTGAGGGAGAAATATGATTTATCACCGCCTCTAGTGCAATTTATCATGTCAGGAACCCACCAGAAGGTCAAGCTAGAAGTTGGTTCCAACTCAATGGGAAGAAGTTTGAGATATCAGAGCTGAAGGGTCATAGCTGACTAGGTTCTGCTAGTCTGTAAGAAACCAGCAAACCAGGGCGTTTTGGTCCTTTTTTTCGTTTCGTGGCTCATTTTTTGACCACTTTATCCAGAATGGACATGTTCAGGAGTGGTCGGCCACCCATGTCGCCGGGCACCATCTAGCTCCTCTGGTCTCAGGGCCACAGAGGTTGAGGCTCACGTAATCCCCGAGTTCCCTGGACTCATTGCTTCTAAGAGTCTTTACTTTTTTCCCTTCTTTATTTATTCTGAAGGGGGAGAGATCCACACTCACACCTTATGCAGCTGCTCACAAGTCCACAAAGCTGGAACATAAAGCATTATCTCTGAGCATTACATTATGTCCCATGTTTCTTTTTTTTTTTTTTTTTTGGAAGCACACTGCCAGGCCTTTTTTCCAAGGCGCTGGTGTAAACAAACTTCTTGTTAACAGTTAAGCATGTTAACCTGGGACTCCCAAGTTTATCCAGTTTAGGCACTCCATCACAGTAATAAAAATATATGAAGTGCTAGGTGGGGGTCCCAGGGTGCAGTGGCTGAGTGTGTGAATTTCCTGGTTCATTCATCAAGAGAGGATTAGGATGCTGCCCTGGTCCCTCCAGGATACACGGACAGCGTGAATCAGGTGGCTGTGGCGCTCACTCCCTGGCTTGCCTGGCCCAGAGACACACAGAACAGGTGACCCGGGATAAGTGTGCCCCACGGAGCAGGCTCCTTTACACAGGGCGGCCAGCTCACCGAGCTGGGAAGGAGGCTGTCCAAGAGGAACTGTGGCCTGTGATGAAGTCTGGGGAACCTCGACACTGTGACCTTTTTTTATTTTTTGTGCGTGTACCGTCAAATCGGATCTGACTGGTACGGGAGGAGATTGTTCCTCCTTTTCCAGCAGAGCATCTGGTGGATTCGAACCACGCACCTCTCGGACTGCACTGCAACTTCTTGCCACTAGGTCACCAGAGCCTGTGACACTGTGGCCTTTAGATGCCCCGCAAGTCTGGACCCAAACTGCTCCCTGGGATTGCCTTTTACCAAGCAATACCCACTGCGCTGGCTGACGGCTACCCCGCAGGACTGAGAACTGTCCCATCGGCTGCTGAGAACTGTCCCGTAGGCTGCCGAGGCTATGAATTTGCACAGAAGCAGGCTGTCTCGTTTTTCTCTGTCAGTGTGGCTGGTGACCCTTTTTGGTTGGTAGCCGAATGCTTTAACCACAGTACCACTAGAGGTCCTTATCAAACAACAGACTGCAGAGTGAATAATAAAACACTTGTGAGGAACATACTTTTTTGTTTGTTTGTTTTGCAAAAGATCAAAAACTACAGGCTTTAATAAGGATTGCATCTCAAGATCAAGAAAATAAAACTTATCACGACTGGACCAATAGGCAAAATCATGGATATGGATAAAAGATCGAGGTTGCCAACAGTTTAATTTTACTTGAATGTACTACGACCATACTTCTTGATGACATCAAAAAGGCAACAGTGTGAGCCCTAGAGGAAAGCGTGAAGCAGGAAGGGTCAGGAGGGGAGGACAGAGGGGCAGGTCAGGGGGAGCCCCCCAAGGAAGAAGTGGGCTGAGTGCTGTCACGCGGAAAGGATCACCAATGTCACGAACCGTGTAATGTGTAATGCCACGAAGTGTGTAAAAACCGGTGACTGGAAAACTAACCTGCTCTGTAAACTAATTCCTGGGGCGGGACAGAACGGAGCAGGGAGAGAAGGAAGAATGAAAGATATACCTGCTCTGGGAGACGTAGGGACAAAGGTCTCAGGGCACACGGAGAGGCGGTGACTCCACACATGAGAAGCGGAGCTGAGGTCCAGCCAGGAGGGGAAAGTGCAGGCTGGGAGGGGCAGGGCGGCCAGGCCTCCAGGTGCTGAGGAATGTGGACTTGACCTCCAGGGTTGACTTGTGTCCCCCAAGGAGCTATGCTGAAGTCTAAACTTTTATCATCCGTGGCCATGACCTTTCCTTACACCAAAGACCCTGGAAGGCGGGTCTCTGGCAATGGCATCAGTTAAGGATTTAAAATGAAGTCCTACTAGGCTAGTTGCTGGGGGCTGTCTAGTTGATTTCTGACTCAATGTGACCCCCTGGTGGAAGATGAGAACTGCCCTGTGGAACTTTCTAGGTTGTAATCTTTACAGGGCATGTTGCCCAGAGGGGCTGGAATCTGGAAAAAGACATCACGCTGGGCAATGATGGGGGGAGGTCAAAAAGGTGGGTCGACATCGTGACAGGAACA